CAGGCCAACTTGACGGGAAGGAGTCCAGAGCAAGACCAACGCTCCTGGAGAGTAAGAGACAGCTCTGTGACGGCTGTCGTAGTGATTCTTTTGAGATAGCTGCGAGGCAGAAAGCCAATCCCGGGCAGTCTGAGGGGCCGCTCAAGCCCGAGTAGCTGCATCGTGAGCGTGCTCGGTAGGAGTGTGAGTATGCGATGGCAGAAGAGTGTCAAAAGGCAAAGTAAGGTGACGGCGTACAGGAGATAGAAGGGAGAAAAGCCAGCGGTGTCGTGTCGTGACGAGTTGTAGGCAAACGTCACGTAAGGCAAAGTGGCATCCCAATCACGATAATCTGCGGAGACGTACATGGATAACATTGTCGCAGTGTGCCGTTAAGGTGCGCAGTGAGTCCATTTTATTGCGGGTGGTAGGAAGTGGTGAGTTTACGACGTGTAGAACGCGAGCGAAAAATGTCGTCCACGACCTTGGAGAGAAATGAACGACCATGGTCGGTCAGAAGTTGACGTGGTGCTCCATTGTGGAGGACACCGTCATGAAGGAGAAAGTCCGCGACATCTGTAGAACAGCTTGTGGGTAGCTGTCGCGTGATGGCAAAGTATGCCGCGTAGTCTGTAGCCACTACTACTCACTTATTTCCACTCAAATATGAAGGAAATGCTCCAATGAGATCGAGGCCGACGCGGTAGAACGGGTCTGTTGGACTGTCGATAGGCTGAAGTGGGCCAGGTGGTGCCAATGAAGGATGCTTGTGGAGCTGGCAAGACTCACAAGATGCAACGTATCGGCGCACAGTGCGGTAAAGGCCGGGTCAGAAGAATCGACGCCGTACGCGGTGACACGTGCGGGCTGCTACAAGATATCCAGCAGTTGGGGCATCATGAATTTTTTCGAGCACAATGAAACGGAGCATTGCAGGAACTACCAGAAGAAGTTCTGCGCTTTCGGTGCTTGTGTTGCACCAATAAAAAATTCCGTCATGAAGCGTGAACATGCGAAGAGAAGGTTCCTAGATGTCAGAAGCTAAACGGTGTATGATAGACCGCAAATCGACATCAATGAGTTGTTCCCTACGGTTGTGTGTGAAATGAGAAATGGCGAAGACACAGGCATCAGAATCATGCGCTGAAATGTCAGGAGGATTGACGGGATGGCGAGATAGATAGTCGGCATTCTGATGCATTCGGCCAGACCTGTAGGTCATGTCAAAGCTATATTCCTGCAGCTTTAATGTCCAACGACGCAGGCGTCCGGAACGATCTTTGAGGGAGGACAACCACCAAAGGAAGTCGTGATCTGTGATGGCCAAAAAGTGGCGGCCGAACAAGTATGGTCGAACAAGTATGGTCGGAACAATATGGTCGGAAGTATGGTCGGAACTGCCCATACAAGAGCGAGGCACTCGCACTCAGTGATAGAAAAGTTGCACTCGAATGGGGAGAGGAGTCGACTTGCGTAGGCATTTACACAGTTTTGACCCTGTTGCTGCTGGGCGAGTACAGCGCCAATACCACATCCACTGTCGTCGGTGCGAACCTCAGTACACATTTTGGTGGTGGTGCGGGCTAATAAAACGGAGCTACGTAGCAGCCGACGCTTAGTTTCTTCCAGGATGTCACAAGAACGTCCGGGTCTAGCTTTCGCAGCGGCCACCCTAACAACGACAGTTGTTCTGCCCCAGCTGAAAGACCGGGGCATGTTCTGTGGGACCGACAATGTTTACATTGAAGAATGGTTGTCGCTGTACGAGCGAACAAGCAGGAATTATCACTGGGCCGAAACCCTCATGCTGGCGAACATCCTATTTTACCTGAAAGAGACAGCTAAAATGTGGTTTGAGAACCACGAAGTGGAAATTGGCAGCTGGGATGTGTGCACAGAAAAGATGCGTGCTCTGTTCGGCAAATCAACTGGCACGAAGACAGCAGCCAAGAAGGAGCTGGAATATCGCGCTCAAACGTCATCGGTGTCGTACCTGTCTTACATACAGGACGTGCTCGCCCTTTGCCGCAAAGCAGACGACGGCATGGAGGAGTCCGAAAAGGTAACGCATATTGAAAGGCATTGCCGATGACACGTTCAATTTGATATTTTGCAAGGACCGTGACACAGTATACGCCCTTATCCGAGAGTGCCAGCGTTTTGAGGCCACTAAAAGCCGACGCATTTCTCATCAGTTCGCTCGACTTCCCAATACCGCAGAAACATGGTCGTGCGAAGACATGCCTGTACCACAGGCACCGCTGAATGCGGAGCGCCTCAGGAAGATCATCTGTCGAGAACTTGAAGCTATGTCTCCCGCTTCAACTTTTTCTCGTGCCTGTGAGTCCAGCTCCTAAATGATGCCATTAGTGCATGTCATCGTTCGCCAAGAGCTTTCAAACGTTGGCCTGTCATCTGTGTACACCGCCGCCCCCTCCCGACCGACTGACTGTCATCCGCCAGTTTCCTACGCCCAAAGCCAGAGGCTACCAGCGCGCTCTTGCAATCCCGCTGAGTGGAGGACTGCTGCTAACCGGCCCATTCGCTTGAACTGTCATCGTCTTGGTCACGTGGCCCGCTATTGCAATAGCAGGTGGAATGCGGCATCGGCCTTCTTATGGCTACAACCGTCACGCAGAGGCAGATGATGGCCACTTCGGAACTCGCCACGAGTCGCCTCGGCCAGCCGGTGGTGACGGTTCGTCCACGGTGCATTGTCGGTCACCATCCACACCCAGCCACCAGTCCCGCTCAGCGCTGTCTCGTCGCCCCTTGTCGCGCCCACCTCAATTTCGCCGTCGTCCTTCGCCGACTGCACCTCTGGCTCGGGAAAACTAGACAATGCAGCTCCCAGAGGTGATGCTGTATCGACGATTTCACAGCCAAATCCTCTGACTATGCCGACACGATGCAACCTCATAGACTTTAAACTAGACGATGCACTTTTTGTTGCCCTTGTAGACATAGGGTCCCACATTTCGGTGATGAACTCGAAGCTTCGCCGCCGCCATAAAAAGTATTTTCACCGCCCTCGGTGCCTCTCATCCAAGTCACCGACAGTGGAACTTTTCCTGTGCTTTAGATGTGCTCCGCACCTGTTAGTGTTGCTGACCGCTCCACAACTGTTCTTTTTGCCGTGCTCGAGAAGTGCTCGGTGCTCTTATGACCTCCTCCTGGGCATGGACTTTCTTGATTGCACTGTGCCTTAATTGACTGTGGAATAGGCATGCTTCAGCTTGACCTACATAATTGCTATGAAACTCCAACTACACCTCAACCACGCTTGTGTTCTCTCGAGTACGTTCGCCTAACGCCCCAAGCCGTTACCTATGTAACCATGAGGTCTTTTCTTCCGGCACCCGATGGCGATTATGTGGTGGAACCAATTTATGACGTGTTATTCGACAGAAATGTTGCCCTGCCTCATACTGTGTTGACGATTACAAATATTGTGGCGTTGCTACCGATACTGAACTTCAGCTGGTGCGCTCAAGTTGTTCCAGATGGCATTGCTATAGCCAACGTCTCTACCATAAGTGAACATTCTGTTTCTGCATTCGTTGCAGAGGCTCCTTTACCCGATACTGCATCTTCTTTACAGAGCTCCACTGATGCCGACTTTGACAAGATGATCGCGCCAGACCACGTTCCAGCACAGTCAGCCGATCTCTGGCATATCTTGCCATTCTTCAGAGACATCTTTGACTTTGGCGACAGCTCTTTAGGTCAGAAGCCAGTTGTTACTCACAGGATCAACACTGGAGACGCCAGCCCAATCCGACGACGTCCTTATCGCGTGTCACATGTACAGCGACAAGTCCTCTAACGCGAAGTTGATAAAATGCTCACAAAAGACATAATTGAACCATCTTGCAGTCCATGGGACTCACAAGTCGTTCTAGTAAAAAAGAAGGATGGCAGCCGGCGCTTCTGCGTCGACTACCGTCACTTAAACCTACTCACGCGCAAAGACGTCTACCCACTGCCACGGATATACGATGCCCTCGACTGCCTGCACGGGTCTGCCTACTTCTCCTCTATCGACCTGCGTTCAGGATACTGCCAGAATTCCGTCGACAAAATAGACCGTGAAAAGACTGCATTTGTTACACCGGATGGACTTTTCCAGTTTAAGGTGCTGCCCTTTGGCTTATGCAATGCTCCCACTACAGTTGAGAGAATGATGGACTCCCTTCTACGGGGTTACAAATAGTCAACGTGCCTCTGTCATCACGATGACGTCATTGTATTCTCGCCGTCATTCGAAAGTGACCTTAGCCGTCTGTGAGCTGTCCTGGAAGTTTTCAGAAGGGCAGGCCTACAGCTAAACTCCTCCAAGTGCCGTTTTGGCCGCGAAACAATCACTCTGCTTGGCCATCTTGTCAGTGCTAAAGGCGTGCGACCGGATCCTGACAAAATTTGCGTCGTCAAATATTACCCCGCACCTCCACCAAAATGTCACAGGTAGAGAGTAGAAAAAGGGTAGAAATATATTTACAGATTGTACACGGAGTACACAGTGTCCTTGAGCCAAGATGGTGGAGTGGCAACAACAACACGAGCATTTGTTCAATGGTCATCTTTGTCGGCTTTATGTTGCATTAGTTGATGTTATAATGATGACTTGTATAACATGACCAAATTTATTCTGATACCCAGATAGCAGCTCGTGGCACCGTCGGTGAAAGCTATCCAATTTAGGGCACATGCTCTAGCGAAGCCCCTCGTTATTGGGCAGTCATCACAATAACGCGGAATTCGGTGCTCAAGAATTATGTGACACGAGAATTGGAATCATCTTGGGCCGTTCGGAGGGCCCCCAGTGTGTTTTTTTGGCTTACCATGTGTGTCCAAGTGTGCGAGGATCCCATTTTGCTCTAGTCGTGTCTATCAGGACTCCTATTAAAGTTTACCAACCATTCGACAAAATAGAAAGTCTTTTACGTTGTTCGTTTTTTGTAACGCACTCGATCCCCCTGTGGGGTACACACGTATTGATCTACGATCTTTAATCTGCACAGATACTGGAGACCGCTTGAATAAGGAACTTATCTTTGCCACTAACGACTACAGCTGCGCTGTTGTTTACATTGAAAGTTTCTATGGTCCACGTGAGTATATTTAAATTTGCTAATAGGCATTCAATGATAGCTATACTTTAACTGTTATATTCGAGCTGGTTTAAAAGATTGTTGGCCTTCTTATGAGAGAGAACAGCACATAATGTCCCGTGGAAGGGGCGCTAAAAAAACTTCAAGACGGCTCTGAAACGCTGACCAATATATTTGGGCGCACTTAAGACATTCAAAGGAAAAGTTCATCTGTAGGTACTTCACGCTGCAAACTGACAGCGGTGACAACAGTCGTAGGCTGTACTCTTCTTGGCAAACTGTTACCTGCATTTGCATTTATACTTGAGCAATGGAAGATTTCACCCTTATTAATGGCCGCTGCGTACGCTTAGAGTAAACTATAAAGTTTTTGTTATGTACGTACTTGTATCAGAGGGTTCTGAAGTAATCTGCAAGGTTCTCAGTCATACGAGCACGGTTTGCGCTAGGCAGTAATTACACGTGCATTGAACCATTTGCACGAGAAATAACAAGAAAGGAGCGCTGGGGTCAATAGGACACAATTGAATGATAAAATGGCAATTCAGCGACAATACAAACACCAATTTTCACTCTAAAATTTGCTTCATGTATTGTCTTCAGTAGACCTACTGCAGAAAAATGGTGATTTGCCCATGTCCCCCAAGCTAAAAAAGCATTATTGCGTCCCTAAAATGAATAAATTTAGCTTTACTACGCAGGTACAATGAAATTTGAAATTTTATACCATTAGTACGCTTTGGGTCAACCAAGAGCAAAGGGTTTTCGAATAGAGTCTGCGGTGATTTGCATATTTCCCTTATTCTGTCACTGTAGTATTGGTCGAGAGATGTCATTTCAGTGGGCGCTGTCAAGTTTGCCAAAAAGACGGAACCCACACAGTGTTTGTGTTTCTTTTCTATGTGCTAACGTTCGTTCCTAAACGCTTGCTCTTCATTGAATTATTGGACGATTGAAATCCAGATACGGTCTGATAACCTCTTCCTTACATATTTGTGCCGTTTTGATTTTCGATGGATAAGTGCAAAGGCATTTCGTGCCTTTCAACGTGTTTGTGAACAGCTTGAGCTTGAGCTTCTTCAAATTTGTCATGCGCCTGTGAGAGTGTACTTCAAACGCCGAACAACCTTGACGCAGCGTGAATAAAGTGAGTCCTATCCTGAACAGCAATCAGTGCTTTGCAATAAGGTTTCCCTATCCGGAAGCTTCGTCTCACGCTATCTTCTACGTGCGAACCTTCCTAAACAAAGGATTAGAATATATAACTGGTGTGTGTGAATGGTTCACATGATAGGACACGCTTCAAGGTAACCTAATGCCTTTTTTGCGTTTTGACCCTCTGAAATGTTCGAAATAAAAAAAAAAGAATCCACTTTGGTACCGCGAACCAAATATAATAAACTTTTGACAAAAAGATACGTGCTGTTTGTCAAAAAGGCAAAACCCGAACGCTGTTTGCGCCTCGCGCACCCAGTGGCCTCCATGATATTTCCTGGGGGACCCAAAACGATTCGGGCTCTTATTCAAAACTCCCTATTAAAACCAGTGGTCCCGTAACATCGCCTTTTTCACAGCACATAAAGTAATAGCTAGAAAAGTGATATAATAGGGGTGCAGCGGTAGAAGAGAAGTTAGAAACAAGTCATTTTTAAACACATGCATCAACAAACTCAACACCGACAAGTAATCACTCCCTTAAAAATGCCAGTACGCATCCTGTTTTATTTTTCAGCATTACAAAAGCAATAATTTCCTCAGGGTAAGCCTATTGAGCGTGAATAATCTTCTACAGAGTTTGGCGACAGCTCTCTTGTTAGCTTGAAAAGTGTGTTTATACATGTTCTGCGCTTCTTTCTTTGTTACAGAGTATGTCACGTTCGATCTTCTTGTAAAGGAGTCCCGTGTACGGAAAGGTCCACGCCGTGCATGTGTAAGAAGGTACAATAAGCAAGTCAAAGGACGTGTTTTTCATCAAGCAAATCGAACATTATATTCTTCGGAATGCTCAAGCCAAATAAAGGCACCCTAATTTCTATGAACTTTCCATTTGGAGAAGTGCATACGAGATCAATAAGTATCATCACATTAAGGAGGATTGCGTGGGGCAAAATAGACCAGAACAAAACGCGGCATTTTCACTTTGCGGGCCTCTGTAACAATTACAAAAAATACTTTTCTTTGTTTCTTTTTACTACCAATGAGTGGTGGTACTTGTGTGCCTTTTCGTGTGTAAATTTTTATGATTGCTGGCAGGTTTCATGCAAAACAAGTTACGCAGCTAGCATCAGTGTGTTAGTGACCGGTCAAAAAGGTGATAAATTCTGCGCAACGAAATTTTCCGATCCATGCATAAAGCTACTCCAGTGCCAATACAACAAGGTAGCTATTAATTTTGTTACTTTACTCTTTTAGCAACTAACCACCAACAGTTTAGTTCATTTGTTTCACGGGACGAAAGTGAAAATTTTTGTGAACTACGGCATGTCAGAGGGGCAACACACGACAAGAAGGTAAAAAAAAACACGATTTGAACGCCTTCCTGCGACAAAAGAGCATAGAAGGGCTAGGTACCATCATATTGTGATCACCACTCCTGTGAGCAGCCCTGGTTTCAGGCCCGCTCAAGCCTTGCGTCGAGACTCCAGTACACCAATTAAGCCGTTGCCTTCAAGGTCTGGGCCCCGCAATCGGCCACTTACAAGGACCACCTCTGTCAAAGTACACCACTGTTCAAGAAATGCCCTCGTCATGCCACCCAACACAGGTAACAGTCCACAATCTTTCAATTCCTGAGCCTTTTCATGGTCACGAAAAGGAAGATGCGGAATACTGGCTAGAGCAGTATGATCACGTAGCAAAGTCTAACCACTGGATCTCTAAAGACGAGGAGCTATTCAACGTATACTTCGCGGTTGAAGTTATTGCTAAGACGTGGTTCATAAACCGCGACAAGTCTTTGACAACGTGGGATGAGTTTCGCTGTCAGCTGGTTGAGACCTTCGGGAGCCCAGATTGGCGTGAAAACGCTCAACGCCTTTTAAACATGCATTCAACAGCCAAATGAGGAAGTCGCGATGATTTCTGAAGATATGACGCGTTTATTTCACCGCGCAGATCACAACATGTCCGAGGCTAAAAAGCTCAACCATTTCATGCATGGTGCTAAAGAACAATTGTTCGCTGCGCTTGTGCGCAATCCTCCGACAACAGTGAACAAGTTTATTAGGAAGGACACAGCAATCGAGCGGGCGTTGCAGCAGTGATACCATCAATACAATCGCCTCATGGCCAGCGCATCTGTAGGTGCCGCCGCGAGAGCTGTCTACGCCAACTGCTTCAGCAGATTGTACGTGAGGAGATTGCCAAAGAGAACGGCAGGCACACACCACCATCGCAACCACCACCGAAGCCCGAGGTCACAGTTGCAACTGTCGCTGAAGTCGTGCGCCAGAAACTCCGACAGGCGTTCGCTTCCCCCGAGCCTCGTTCAGAAGTGTACTATTAGCCACCGGCATACAGCTTCGTAGACACTGTTCGTCACCCCTTTTCTGCTGAGCTATCGTACCAGCCGAACGTATACAGCTATGTGGACGCAGTTTGTCGTCCATTGTCCGCGCTGGTGCCACCGTACCACCAACCACCCCCTTGGACAGCCTGGACCCAACAAGATCCTGCCAGGCGACCGCCACAGCGGAAGACCGATATATGGCGGACTGCAGATCGTCGCCGTTTGTGCTATAATTGTGGGGAGCCGGGACGTATTCATCGTTATTGTCCGTATCGGCCAGCGGAATACCGTATCAGCCAGCCTGATGCTACTCGCCGCCAGTTAGATGAAAGGCGTTCCTCCTTTGACGACAACCCTGCCAGCCGACAACAAAGCTCCTCTAAAGGCCAAACCACGGTACGCCCGAACGCCCGCTTCTACTTCGTTTTTCTGGACCATTTCGGTTTACAACCGGTCTGGACACGGAGGCTGTTCACGGTGGGGCCGCAAGAGCAGAATGCCTGAGCACGCTGATCGGCCGACGCGATGTTCATGAAGTGCTGGCAACTGTTTGGCGAAACAGATGTGTTCGGCCGCGACTATCATCAGCAGGTGACACAAAACATATGCGTTTGCCCATGGGGGTTCAATTTAAACGAAGTACGTGCGCTATGACGTTGTGTTCTGCAGCGGCACGAGTTGCATGGTTGTGGTGGGGGACGCTAGAAACGCTGCAGAGGTGCTTTAACCTGCACGATTTCTGATATTCGCTTAAGCTATCGTATCCATCATGTAATCAGACCATCTGCACAAGGTGCGTTTGGAGTGACATCGCTGTGTTTGAAAGGTCCCGCGCTTCAGCTTGTTAGAACACGGCGTTCCCGCACACGCTTCAAACTCGATGATTCAGGCAGCGAGCGTGTCCGACACACTGAGGCATGCTGATGACGATCGCGAGGTCTAAGATATGTAAGTCGAGGCAGACAGACACAGAACGTCATTTGCCCTCCCCCTTCTCAGAAATGCTACTCCTTTAGAGCGGTGCCGTGGGCCGCTCTAACGATATGCCCAGCGCTGGCACGAAGCCACAGTGTCACAAACCAGGGCTCGGCAACCTGCTGCGGCCCGGCCTCATGCGCCCGTCCCGCACGACGTCCTAATATCCCTCCCCCCTTACCTTGTGACATTTTATTTAAAGGCGAACATAGCAGTTTACCAAAGTAGAGTTTCGCTTGTAGGTTTTAATTGTTTGTAAATTGCAGCTTCGCAATATTTGTGATAAAAATACCCATCACTTCTATTTATCGATCAATTTCAGTTTAAACAAGGGGGCATATGCATTCTCAAGTGTTTACCATTTCTTTTTCAAGCATTTGTAGCCTGGATGGTAATGAAAAGCAGTTAGAGTCATCCATGATTCAATCAAGAGCCACACCAGCAGCATTTTTTGGCACCAAAATCAGAGTGTAAAGAAAACAGCACGCTGTACTGTTCATGTTTATTTCCAACCCACATGTACATAGCTCTTTGCAATGTACCCAATGTAACAGATGTCGATCGATGTGATACTAAATGTGAGCTGAAAACACCAAAGCAGGTGATGAATTGTCCATTTCATTGATTTTTACACGAGCGAACTATGTAATCAATAAAAGAAGGGTATTCAAAGGACTGTTACGCCTGGGAGTCCACACTGAACGTCAATGCCTCTGCAAAGGCAATCTGTGTCAATGCCAGCGATTGAGCCCGCCTGACGCGATGAACTCGACGGCGTCATCTAGCGGCGCCGCCAGTGTGTCTTACGCAACGCACAGCAAGCTCCCTCAGCCCACGAGCTTCATGACGCAATCAGTGCCTTCCAGTCTGGTGAGTATTGTGCAATGCGTGGCAACACCACTCATCCTTGCGTGCAACTCCGCACAGCGGCGGGTCCCCATTGAAGCATTCTGATATCATGGCCAGGGGCGCTTCTGGTTGGACGTTTGGGACGCAAATGTCGACCGGTGCCTACAAAAAAGCCAAGCGGCACGTCGCCAGCAGATGACCTATGAGTCAAAGAGAAGCCGACGTGTGCGTGTGAGAAAAGACATTTCGCGAATCTCGCTGCTTCGAACCCTTTCGCTGTCCGCGCGACCAGTGCCCTTGTAAGTGGCGAGTTTCGTGGCCCCCTTCGTAACCTCGTCGGTGGCGCGCCTTCGTAACAGTAGATGGCAGCTGCTGCATCGGCAGGTGTCAATGATATCGATGCGGTGAGTGTCTGATGTTTTCCCCTCAATTCACCATACTACTCTAGCACAGCTTATAGCATTTTAGAGACGGGCTGTGTGAAGCACTAAAGTGAGCTTTGATTGTTTCAAGCCAAGTCGAAGCGCTTTGAGAGCAAATGTAAATGCGGTGGGTGTAAGCACGGCAGTGTTATAAATTGCTTGCGTGTCTTGCTAGGAGACGTATAGTGGGTACTGCAAGTAGATCCTTAACAGGTGCAAACAGCATTTATTTATTTATGATACCTTACAAGCTCATTGAGAGCATTGAGTAGGGGGGGGGTACAAACTTCAAAGAGTAATAGGGCGGTCATCATTAACATGTAATACACAGAAAATAACACAACATCGTGACAAAGCGTGTCTAGTCACTGACACTCAAAGAAATGTAATACGCGAACGTTTCCTGATATGCAGGAAGCTTGAATAACAAGAATTTCAAGGTACATGAACGAAACACAATAAAGAAATTCGGAGGGCGTAGGTATAGAATTCAAGTGAGTAGCAACGGCGGTGCAACTGAGCAACAAAAACTGGGAGAATAACAAGAACTGGGAGAACAATGACAATAAAAAACAACATACATACGCATTTTTCAAACACATATACTGCTAGCCGTACGAAGGCGTTCACCAATATAAATTGCAAGACAACGGTGGGTACAGCCAAAATTAAAGAGAACCAAAAAGAAGTGTGAAACTAGGTGAGTAGTACAGCTGCAGCTACAAACATCAGTGAAGTTAGAGCGATTAGTGCGATGAAAAATGATTACACACATGTCCGCGAAAAGAATCTGGATCGGTGATGGAGGCGATGCAGTCGGGAAGGTCGTTCCATAATGATATGGCCATAGGAAGCGCTGATAAGTTGAATGCCTTCGTTCTGCCGTAAATGCGAGTGAAACTAAGGTAATTGTGCAGGCGCCTGGACATGCGCAATGGTGCTGTTAGGGGTAGCGTAGAACGTCTTGTGCTGTGAATATATTTATGCAGCAAACATAACAGTGCAACAGAGCGACGAACGTGCAATGGCGAAAGAGAATGTACTTGTTTTAATGTTCTTGTTTAATGTTCTTGTTTATTGTTCTTGTTTATAGCGAACGATGAAGAACCTTAGAGTGAAGGAATTCATCGAAGTTTGTGAGAAACTTGGCATTACTTTGGGCCGTGCGAAACGAAAGCGAACGATCCTTGAGATCATGAATGGTGAAGCAGTGTCGACTGAGGAAGTCGATGAGGCCCGGGCGGATATCACAGCACGCCCAGAGGAGGCTGAAAGGCGAGATGTT